TATTTTACTGAAAGACTTTTGGTAATAAATAAAAGTTAACAGTTCCAAGCTCATAAACATAAAGAAATAGAATAATTCGATTAGTTTCTTGTTATACCTTTAATCAAGAGAATTATTGTATAAGCGTATTATATGTATTTTCAGAACTATTAGACATTTTAAAACACTAAGCATATTTCTAATTATATGTATCATTCCATGTATGCTATTTACAAAATTGGGTTCCATTTTCTCAAGCAGAGTCAGATTTTTAAGGAAAGAATTTTGACTTACGTATTATAAAACACTCCGGAAACTTTTTCGCTGTCTAATTACGTTTTTAATAATAATTGAAGATGTAGATAATGAGACTAACAACTGCGAAGTTATCAAATATCATTTATTATAGAAATGTATACAGTATTATATGTAGATCAAATTTATGAAAAATGCAACTGACATTTGAATGTTGAAGTAATTGAAACTCCAAATATTAGTAAGTAGTTTTTATGAAATTCATGTATCTAGTATCCGGTATTTGTCCAGTAAGTGAGTGAATATTAATCCCTTGAGTATCATGTAACCACTAATTGATTCATACTGTGTATAAGGCAAAACCCCGTTGTAATCTTATGTGGATACTTGGCTTATTTAGATGCACAACTAGTGTAACCATCGTAGGAAAAAAGGTAGTTTTTTTTATTGGGATTGTATGAAATTATAAAAGTTAAGCTACAAAATGTCCGGGTTACAAAAAATTGAAAAAATAGAAAAATTAGAATTAAAGTTACAAATCTTAGTGAAATTTTTCGAATTGTTCCTTGGAACAAAAGCTTTTCCACGTGCGTTACATAAGTGCATTGTCATTTTTGTTCTATTTCTTCATCATAAATTAATAAACCTGTATCACACTGTCGTATTCATTGGTTTCTGGAAAATGTTCTCATTCAGTACCAACGACGATGCCATTTTGGCAAGGTAAAGTAAAAATAAACAATACAAAAATAGTTATGCAAACTTAAGAAAGTGAAACGAGCGAAACGCGAACGAACGTTCGAGAGGAGACAAAAGGAAAAATGAAATGTGCGTCGAAACGTCAGGGTCAGTATCCCCAGAAAACCCAGATTTCTGGCGATACTACAAAGCGCAATCTGATAGTCAAAAAGGTTAACGTCGCACTATTCAGCTACTCGAGAGCTTTTGATGATGGACCTCGTCATTTTGAACCATTGTCAAGTGACCCAATATCAATTCAGCGATATGCCTAAAAATTTTAAGTTTACCATTTTAACTCGTCAAATATTTTTTCTTTCTATTGCTTAAAATTTTTTAGTCAGGAATATGCATGAAACTCCATATTCTTCCTTCCTTCCTCAATGGCTCGACAGCCCAATGTGGGCCTTAGCCTTCTTCCTGTTAGAGTTCTTCCATTTTTAGTTTTCAAAACTAAGAGATCTTTTTCTAGGCCATCAATCCATCTTAGATTTAGCCTGTATTTTCTCCGTGTGGCAATTGGTTGGGAATTGAAGACCTTTTAGTGGTGCGGTCTTCGTCCATTCTGACAACGTGATTTGCCCATTTAATTCATTGTATTTTGATGAAGATAACGATGTCAGATTCTTTATATAAATGATAGAGCTTGAAATTTGATCTTCTTCGCCTCGTTCCATTTTCCTGAATGCCTCCAAAAATAAATATTGAAATATTCCTTTCATGGATACATATCATGTTCTAATCTGTTCGAAACATGGACAAAACTCCATTTTCTATTTCTACATTTTTATATGCCTAAGCGAGATAATGGTAACAACTATACTTGCTTCAATCAAAAGCATCCGAGGACAAAATCAAGAAAAATAATTCAAATTCAAAGAAAATTTTGTTAGATTTTGAAGCGAATAAAATTAATAGCTACTTTTAAATAATGTCACGGAGTAAAAAAATCACATCTTGTTCCATATTTCTTTAAAAGAAACTGGTGTGTGAGCTTGCACTAAACTTGAAACTTTCATCTCAATTTTGAGTACATTAACATAGTTTCATGCTTTTATTTGCCTTCTAATTCTTTGGTTTAGCGTAGTGTGGATATTTCAAGAGTAGGTTGCCAGCTCAGATGCCCCTCTTGTCGGTTGACAATGGCTTAAAATTAAAAAGTTCGCAACCAATATCCTTCACGCACTATAGTCCTGGTATCAAAATATGACGGTGATAAACAATCAGCCATTCGTATTTAAATTTCTGGATAAGTAATATGTGTCACATTACTTATATGTTACGCTAAAGTTTTTAGATCAATCTTCTGAAACATTTCAAAAGCATTCTTTCAACTCATGTTAGTTCAAAATTATGTTAGGGCTGCGGTAGCCCAGTGGCCAAGGTATCAAATCATGGCAGATGCAGCGAAAGTACCCAAGGAGCGAAGGGGTGATTGACCCGAGGAGGGGTGAGCGCCTGGTTTCTCTTCACTGGTGTGGCAACAGAGGGAGGAATAGCGCTCCGGAAAGAAAGGGAGAAAGAATTCCTCTCGATGCGTTTGGAGGGAGCAGACGGCTATGAACGTGCGCGATAATATTTAACCTTTTTTATGCATCCTTGTAAATACTTAATAAATGTTTTATTTAAATTGAGAAACACTCGTAGCCCCGTCATTCATTTTGCGCTTAGTTTATAGATATGTAATTGAGTTGTGAAGTTGAGTATTGAACAGCAGGCATGTCATGAGTTCACACACAAGCCCAGTACCAATAAAAATTGCCATTAAATCTGTCGAGAGCTGAGAAATGTCCTCCCGTTGGTGCGTTATGGTAGTTAGAAGAGGGGGTGCCAGCTCAGGTGTCGTCCACTAACTTGATCATAGTTCAAAATTACGTGGACCGTCGCCAAAAGCCTTCATGTAGCTGAACAGTGCGACGTTAATATTCACTCTCTCAGAATTATGTTATGCTTGTAAAGATTAAAAATTACATTAATTTAATCATAAAACAGATCCTTTGAAACAGTTATAATCTCCTGATTTTTCTACAAAATCCAATGATCTCTTCTGGAAGTACTTCAATTCTTTATATTAGAGAATTAGAATTTTTGCATATGCCAATTGGAACGAGTTACAGTTCATTAATTTTTATATCAACAAACATTAAATTCTATTCCAGTTAGAACTCGAGTAAAAACACATGTACTTGATATCAAAATATTTTCTGTATTTCTTCCTATTTCAATGCATTAACGTATTCATTTTCTCTCATCTTAAAAGGACAAATAATTCCTTATATTTTCATATTAATATACAATTATGGGAACTATTTCTGAAATCGAAGACATTTGAACTAATGGAAGATATCGAGCTATATCTTTGTAATAGTTTTAATATTCGTTATTATTTTGTAATTGCCGAAATAGTTCTTTGTTAACTATATATTTTTCAAATTTGTGTTCAAAAAAAAAAAATTTGAAATAACAGATGAATAAAAACTTTTGACCTATAAAGTTCTTGCATAAAAAATAGAATACACATTTTTTATATCTATATGACTACAATTAATCCGTAAGAATATAACTGTTGTTTGATGCATCAAATAAAGAAATCATTAAAGCTCTTAGATGCCAGGCATTTTAAATTCCTGAGAGTAATGCGTAAAATTTCTGCTTGCTTCCGGAAATTTAGACTGTTATAATTATTTTTAAATATAGAAGAGTGCATCACACACACAAAAGACCAACAGATTCCTGAATATATTTTTACTCTAGCATTCGAAAATGCTCAAAATTTTAAAAACTCAAAAGATAATCATCAAGGTAGACAAAGTAATTTCCTTAACATTTACATAAACTTCTGAATAAAAATACGAGTCTATTGGAAGAAGAATTGATGTAACCGAATGAAAAAATACAAAAGGATATAATGAAAACAAAAGAATAAATCTTCTAAAATTGGACCTTTATTTTTCCTTGAGAAAAATTCGGAATTGATTCCTTGTCCTTTTTAATTACTGGACGGATAGCTTAACATTCCCACACTTAACCGTTTCTCAGCTAGAATAGGGCTGCGGTAGCCCAGTGGTCAAGGTATCGGATCATGGCAGGTATGTCATGAGTTTGAGTCCAGTACCACTAAAGACCCACCGTGTAGGGCAGCGATGCATGTTAAATCTGTCGAGAGCTGAAACGTCCTCCCGTTGGTGTGGTAGTTAGGAGAGGGGGTGTCAGCTCAGGTATCGTCCATGTCACTTAACCATGGTTCAAAATTATATATACGTGGCCGTCGCCAAAAGCCCTCGTGTAGCTGAACAGTGCGACGGTAATATTCACTCCCTCATTCAGCTATTATAATAGTCGTTCAATATATAACGTTTTGATTTGATCCAAAGAGGCAGGTTTTGTATTAATTTTAAAGGCAAATTTTTGTTATAGACTGTCGTCTACGGTGGTTTAAAGGTAGCATACCTGCTTCGTAAGACTAAGGTTTCAGGTTCGACCCCGGCTGGAATCGATAGCTTTTCTAGATGTGAAAATAGTAGGCGCGCATGTAGGTTATGTGGCATGTAAAAGATCCCTTGAGTATAAATTTGGATCTGGTACTCTCATCAAAATTAAGCCATGGCAATATCTAGCATCCGACGAGAGCTTGAATTCAAAAATTAATTCGAAGAGTAATTAGAAATTAGTTTGTAACGAGGTCGCCACTATATGGTGTCACTATGAAATGGCTCTCGCGTTTGGGAACTTGCCGTGTCTGGGAAGGCTAAGTTATAACAAGTAATATAAAAAAAATTTAAGCTTATTCTTACTTAGGTCAACAAAGAAACTTTACTTATATTAAATAGTTACAATATTAATATATATATATATATGACAGAATCACAATATTAAGTGACAAAATAGAAAGCAATTTTTCTTTTATTTTCTATATATGGTGTTGAACTATTTTTGTTGGTTTGTTTATTTATTCATTAATCAAACTTAATTATTCTTATAAAATAGTATTGTAAAGAAGAAATAACATTTTCACACAGGAATTGAGCCGTCCCAGGTGGGATTCAAACCCATGACCTTTGGATGAGAAGTCCAATGCACACACTATCCATTGCGCTACAGGAACACAGCGAATGATTTTCCTTTCTACATATGCTGTTGGACTATTATTTTTGTCTGATACTATTTATTCATTTTTAATTTAACTAATGAATTAATATTTGAAAAAACTGTATTAACAGCAAACGTCATTCACAGCAAGTTTTAAAATTGCATTTTAATTTGAATGGATGAATAGAAAGTATTTTATTAATGATTGAAAATTTGAACAAGAAATAGATAGATAGATATAGGGAAAGAGTAAACTAATAGTAGGAATTGAAAAAGGGTGCCCCATTGAAAAAAAAAAGGTATAGGCCAGGTTCACTCAACCTTATTTTCTGCTGGGCCGCATACATATGTCAGCTATTTCACGCGGGTCGCATACATATGTTAGTTATTTCATACGAGCCACAACATATGGATAAATGTGGGGGGGAGAAATGTTTTAAGATAAAGGTAACATTGGAAATTTAAAATGTGGAAAATTGATCAAAATATAATAAATCCTGTTTTGCTTTTCTTTAATTATTATTTTTTATACTTTTTTATTTTTGTCACTAATACTTAATTAGAAGCCTTTAAGAAATACTCCTTCACAATTTCGGCATCAGTAAACGGTTCCATATGATTACCAATAATACAGCAAACTTCATAGGATGTCTTTGTTACTAATGTGATATGACCACTGAGAAAACACTTTGTTGCTTTTACAAAGATTATTCAAGAAAGCCTATTTATCACCTCTTGCAAGAAAACTTCGAGAAACAGTGTCATTGAATGATTCCTGTTTATTGGTATTTTTAAATACAGCACTTTCGTGACAAATCAAACAATTACTGATCCAAGTTTGTTTTTCACTACAAAATAGTGAACCTTCCAATCGTCTTGAAACGATATATTTTTACAGAATAGTTTTCGCTTGCAAGATATGAAAGATAGTTAAAAAATAAATTCCACCCATAACTACTCCATTGTCGCTACCCCACTGTTGTCTGTTATCACAAACCGTAACCGTTCCAAATAATAAAAAAAAGAATATCAACTCGTACCCGTACGATACCGACAGCAAAAAGCAAAATTGATTCACATGATTTCTTGGCAAAGAATTTCTTACCAAATTTTTAATACAATGCTCTTAAATAAGTAAATTTCTCAGAGCAATGGGCCATGACCGGGCCACTTAAAAAGGCTCGGTGGGCCGCGGGTTGAATATCGCTAGTATAGGCTGTTTATATAAAGCATAAAGATGCATACTATATTCTAGAATAAGCTAAGACGATACATTTCCTTCCTTAACTCACGATTAGACATTTATGTAGGCAAAAAGAGCAAAAAAAAATTTCAAAATAATAATAATAATAGCACTAAAAATAATCAACCCAGAAACATTTGGTGGAGAGTTCTCATTTATTTTATACGTAGTAGGTGCTTGTATTTCTAAAAGTTTTCACTCATTTCTCGCTGTGGGTAAATGCGCATTTCTCATACAATTTTTCTTAAAAAGGAAAACATATGATGAAAGAAAGAGAGAACGAGAAGAAATCAAGAAAAAAACTTATAATAAAAAGAGTTGAACTGAACTTTTCAAAGTTATCTCGTTCAAGGAACGAAAAAAATGATCAAATTTCAAAGAGTGGTGTCGTGGCTGAAATCGATCCGGTTTTCTCCTTCACAATGATGGCTTCAAATGCATCAAATTCAGAAAATGACAGTTTTCCAGTTGAACTCGAAATACGCGGTAGTTGTTAGAATCTATGAGAGAAAAAAGAAATTTTCACATTTTTATTTTTGTATTACTGACATTGCAGAACAGAGTTACATTGGAACGCTTTTTTAAACTAAAAAACGTTCTGTAAACAAAATTTATTTTTGAAATGTTAGATGAATTTTATTTCAGCTCGAATGGTATAAAATAGCAGTTTGTCATGATCAATCTTTTAACATGTCAGAAGAAATCTAACTAGTTTTGAAGTCAAGCTTATTAATATTTTTTTATAAGTTAGCAAGTTTATTTGAATAGAATAATATATATATATATATATATATATATATATATATATATATATATATATATATATATGTATATATATATATATATATATATATATATATATATATATATATATATATATATGTATATGTATATATATATATATATATATGTATGTATGTATATATATATATATATATATATATATATGTATATATATGTATATATATATATATATATATATATATATATATATATATATATATATATATATATATATATATATTGATCTCTTTGTTTAAATGATGTAGTTGTAGCAAGACAGTAATTCATGCAGTTAAAACATAGCAGCCTTTACTTAGGTTGTTGTCGTGAGTTTTAATCCTGGGATGCATATGAAATACAAGTGAAGAACAGAAAGCCTACAACACAAACAGAAGAATATAGGCATTTATTACAAATGATGATCCCGTCATATAAAAGAAGGGGTGCGCTGCTTTCCATTCGGGACGGGAATCCATTACAAGCAAAAGTCCGACTTCTTTTCCCGAAAAAAATTCAGCCCTGCCTTACTCGGGATTCAAACCCAAACCCACTCGGTTACAAGCCGAGGATCATATCCCCCTTACTGGTTGGATGGCATTTACTTAGATAATTTTAACATTAGGTACGAAAACAGAACGACCTATCTGCTTAAGTGCTAAGTAACAAAAGAGACAGTACTATCGATTTCTATATTCAGAAAAGAAAGAAATACAGGGGAAAATGTAATAAGGATGGTATACAGCCACATGTTCAAATGAAGGGAAATAGTTGTTATTTTATAAACAATGTAGGTGATTTTAAAGAAATACTTGGACGCCAGGTTTTGCGTAATCAGACATTAATGCAAGACATCAAGAAGGGAGAGCATATTTAACAATAAAGATTTATTTTATTCAGCATTATAAAGTCTGGCACCTTCGAGCTTGGAGCTCATTCGGAAGTATAGAGTGGTACTTATACAAAACGAAGTTTCTACTTACGTAAGCGTTCGGAGCCCTCTGATCGTTATAAGGATTCGTTAGGGAATTCTTAACACCAGGTTCTCCTGGGAAAGTGTTAGTGTAAGCTATTTAGTTATTTTTGGATAGGAAATGATTTAAAACAGATTTTTAATCGTTTTTAGCATGGAAAATGAAACGAGGCTTGCTATTCGACATATATTCGTAGTTAAGATGCACAAACAAAGAGAGGTACAAGATTAAAATTTATTTTAATATTGAGCAAAGGCAACTGAAGTGAATATTAAGGTGTGTGTGTGTGTGTGTGTGTGTGTGTGTGTGTGTGTGTGTGTGTGTGTGTGTGTGTGTGTGTGTGTGTGTGTGTGTGTGTGTGTGTGTGTGTGTGTGTGTGTGTGTGTGTGTGTGTGTGTGTGTGTGTGTGTGTGTGTGTGTGTGTGTGTGTGTGTGTGTGTGTGTGTGTGTGTGTGTGTGTGATGTGTGTGAGAGAGAGAGAGAGAGAGAGAGATTAAAAAATTCCCTAACTTTCCCCCCCAAGATATTAATTCGCTTCAAAGTAGAAAAGAGAATTTGAGCTGTGAATCAAGTTTCTCTCTCTAATGATATTTTATACTAAACCAAATATTTTAAAGACATTTATCCGAAGTTAATTAATAAGACACTTCTTAATTACTTATTCACAGTTAAAAAATTGAACAGTCTTTGATACCAGTGCTATAGAAATTTAAATGTTCTTTTGCGTTATAAAAACGTTATTCATTCTTCACTTTAAATACTTAACCTGTATTTCAGAATATATTTCAGCGCAGTTACTGAATTTTAAGCAAATTCTGATCATCTTCTAATCTCCAAAAATAGTATATTAAAATATACATCCTATAGTAAATTAAAAACAACATTGATTATTTAAAAGAAATTAGAAAATAAACGTTAAAATAAAAATATACATATATATTTCTGTCAAGTATTTTTATCTAAGTAGGAAGTTCTCTGTAATTAATGTCAGATTCGACTTTAGTTCCCTTCGTCTTTGTAGTCTTATTTCTGCTGGCACTAAATGAGACTTCAGGGAGAACAGTGGATGGGGTAGAAGTACCGTGTCATCCGAAATATTTTGTTGTTCCGTAGAAAAAAAAGACTCCATTAAATTAACCAAAATACTTCAAAGGTTATTAGTTATCTCAAGAGTTATCACATTAAGATCCGTAAATCCTACATTTATAGGGGATCCAATTGTGATGCTAATAACAAATTTTAATGTTCATTTCAAAAACTTTGGTTTTACTTGGTCTTTAATAAATCCATTTTTTATCTCCTTATAAATTGCTCAAAACTACATTACCAGACAAAATATTCAGAACAGGTTGAATATTTCATCATATAGAAAGTATATGTGAAAACGCAATATGGCTGAAACACAGAATTTTTGCCTTTCTTGCTCTTTAAATTAGTAAGATTCATAAAATGATTTCTATTTTTTTTAAAGGATGAAATCAGTGCTCAATATATCCCTTTTATATAGTTTTTTTTTTTTCAAAATTCTTAATATCGTTTTTTTTATCAATAAACCTCAATATACGCGAGTATGAAAGACATTTATAATTTCTATAATAATAATTTATGCCTTCATTTTGAAGAGCAGTTTCCAAAACTTACATAGGTGAGACAATAAATTAAAAATGAATACATTTTAACCGAATAATGGACATGGAAAACTTTATTATTGATGCTTTTTCTTACCTATTGATTTGTATTTTGTACGGGTGCTAGCTGCATCAATATCGAAGTGTGGTGGTGCTTATCCGCAGGACAGAACCCGTGACGCTCGCATCCGCAGCCGAGAAACATAACCACTAGACAAAAGTGATCATCCCTGTCCGGAGGCTGTTACTAGTTTATGACACTACAGTACTGCCTCACCAGTGAGTCGATGGATAGGCGAACGATTTTTATTACGGCGAGAGTGTGAAGCGTGTGAGTTGTTGCTGTTAACTGGTGATGTGATGCCAAGTGAGTATGACAACTTTGGTTGCT